AAATGATGGTGAGCCTTCCTGAGAAGTTTGAGCCAAAAATATCAGCTATAGAAGAGTCGTGTGATTTGAAGACTCTTACTGTTTATGAATTGATCAGCAAGTTGCAAGTTCATGAACAAAGGACTGCTTTTCGAATGGAAGACATGGCTGCTCGTGAAAGTGCTTTCCAAGCTTTGCCGAAGTGGAAGCCATTAACACCATCCTCTGAAAAGAAGCAGCAATATGGAAGAGCAGATAAAGGAAAAATGGTGGCTACACAGTATCAGCCATCTAAGAAAGATAAGTTTCCTCCATGTCCGATCTGCAAAAGAACTAATCATGATGGCAAGGATTATTGGTACAAAGGGAAGCCACAAGTGCAATGTAGATTTTGTAGAAAATATGGTCACATTGAGAAATTTTGCAAATTTAAGGAAAATCAGTACAGACCAAAGCAACAGCAAGCACAAGTAGCAAGCACAACTGAAGATCACTTGTTTATGGCTTCACTAGCTTCCGGTTCAGTTGACAAGTGCTCATGGTTTGTGGATAGCGGCTGTACCTGTCATATGGCAAATAATGAAGCAATTTTTTCTGAATTGGACAAGTCAGTGAGAATCAAAGTGAAGCTTGGAAATGGCTCAATAGTGCAATTAGAAGGCAAGGGTATTGTGGCTGTTCAGACCAAGAAAGGTACAAAATATATTCATGATGTTCTCTTTATACCTTCCTTGAGTCAAAATCTGTTAAGTGTTGCACAGATGCTTAAGAAAGGTTATTCAGTTTCATTTGCCAACAATGCATGTTATATCTATGATTCTTGTGGTGTTGAACTTGCTAGAATCAAGATGGTAGAGAATAGCTTTCCTATTATGTGGAATTCTCCTTGCTTGCATGCTGTTTATGTATCAAAATCTGATGAAACTCCTTTATGGCACAAGAGATATGGTCACTTCAATTTGAAGTCTCTTAAGTTCCTTCAAACCAATGAACTTGTTAGAGACTTACCAGAAATTCATGTGAATGATGATGTATGTTCAAGCTGTCAATTTGGGAAGCTGCATAGACAAGTTTTTCCGATCAACAATTCATGGAGAGCAAGCCAAAAACTTGAGCTAGTTCATACAGATGTTTGTGGTCCAATGAAGACTGCTTCGCTTGGTCAGAATCTCTATTTCATTCTTTTTATTGATGATTACACCAGAATGACGTGGGTGTATTTTATGAGCAGCAAGGCACAAGTTTTCTCTGTGTTTAAAAAGTTCAAGGTACTTGTTGAGAACCAAAGTGGCTACAAAATCAAAACCTTGAGATCTGACAATGGAAAAGAATACACTTCAAAGGAGTTTGACAGCTTTTGTGAAGATGCAGGGATAGCACATCAGTTAACTGTCCCTTATACTCCTCAACAAAATGGAGTTTCTGAGAGGAAGAACAGAACAATTATGGAGATGGCTCGATGTATGTTGCATGAAAAGAAGCTGCCTAAGAATTTTTGGGCAGAGGCTGTTTATACAGCTATATATTTGTTGAATGGTTTGCCTACTAAGGCTGTGCAAGGAAAAACACCTATTGAGGCCTGGTTTGGTGTTAAGCCTTCTGCACATCATTTGAAAATTTTTGGCTCTATTTGCTATACTCATGTGCCTGATGCAAAGAGAACCAAGCTTGATGTTAAAGCTGAAATTGGTATTCTGGTGGGTTACTCTACAAAATCAAAAGGCTACAGGGTATACAACTTGCAATCTGGAAAAATTTCAGTTCACAGGGATGTACAAGTTGATGAAGATTCTCATTGGGATTGGGACAAGAGAGTTGTTGTGAAAAATGGTGATATAGCCTCTGTCAAGGATGATGTAGAAGCTTCCAAAGAGGAAATTCCAGCTTCTAATGTAGCTGATGTTGATGCTCACCATGATTCCCCTGTTATGAAAACTAAATCCTTGTCTGAAATTTATGAAAGATGCAACCTAGCTGTTTTAGAACCCAACACATATGTAGAAGCTTCCAAGCATGACATATGGAGGCATGCAATGCAGGAGGAGATGTAGATGATTACAAAAAATGAAACTTGGGAATTAACTTCCCTACCACCGAAAAAGAATGCAATTGGAGTCAAATGGGTGTTTAGAACCAAGATGAATCCTGATGGCTCCATTTACAAGCACAAAGCCAGATTGGTAGTGAAAGGATATGCTCAGCAAGCTGGAATTGATTATGGTGACACTTTTGCACCAGTTGCTCGGCATGATACAGTCAGAATGTTGATTGCTTTATCTGCTAATTTTGGCTGGACAATTTACCATATGGATGTCAAATCAGCTTTCTTGAATGGCCATTTGCAGGAAGACATTTATGTGCAACAACCTGAGGGCTTTATTATTTCTGGTCATGAAGACAAGGTTTACAAGCTTAAAAAAGCTTTGTACGGGCTCAAGCAGGCACCTAGATCTTGGTACAGCAGGATTGATTCATTTTTCCTTCAACAAGGTTTTCAAAGGAGTGAAAATGAGCCAACCTTGTATGTTAAACGCAACTCAGGTCAGTCTTCCAAAGATACAACTTTTTCAGTTGAAAATTCTGGTTCAAATCCTTTTGTTTGTGATGCTGAATTGCTAGTTTCTTTGTATGTTGATGATCTGTTGATTACCGGTAGCAATTCACAATTATTGCTGAGTTTTAAAGCTGATTTGATGAAAGAATTTGAAATGTCTGATCTAGGGGAGATGAGTTATTTTTTAGGCATGGAAATTCATCAATGTGAATCTGGTATATTTGTTTCTCAACATAAATATGCTCTTGATGTCTTGAAGAAATTCAGTATGGATCAATGCAAGTCTGTGCCTACTCCCTTAGTTCAAAATTCAAAATTAATTGCTGAAGATGGTTATGAGAAGACAGATGCTTCTATTTACAGAAGTTTGGTTGGGAGTCTCTTGTATCTTACTGCAACCAGACCAGATCTCATGTATGCAGCAAGCTTATTATCTCGGTTCATGCATTCTCCTAGTCAAGCTCATTTTGGTGTTGCAAAAAGGGTGCTGAGATATCTCAATGGCACTTCAGATTATGGTTTATGGTTTGAGAAGCATAAATATGGAATTCTGCACTGTTTTTCTGATAGTGATTGGGCTGGAAGTCATGAAGATGCCAAGAGCACAACTGGTTTTGTGTTCTTTTTTGGTTCTGCAGCTTTTTCTTGGATGTCTAGAAAGCAAGAAGTCGTTGCTCAATCAACTGCAGAAGCTGAGTATATTGCTGCAGCAGAAACCGTAAATCATGCAACATGGATTAACAAGATGCTAATTGATATGGGGTGTTATCAGCTCAAGCTTTGTGTTATCCACTGTGATAACAATTCTGCCATTGCTATTGCTCATAATCCTGTCCAGCATGGTTGTACTAAGCATGTCAATGTTAAATTTCATGTGCTTAGGAATATGGTGCAGAGTAAGGAAATTGAGATGGTTTACTGTCACAGTAATGAACAGGTTGCTGATATATTTACCAAGGCTTTATCAAAGTTCAAGTTTGAAAAGTTCAGAAGCAAGCTCGGAGTATCTAGTAAAAATTCAGGAGGAGTGTTGAAGACTTGAATTTTAACTAGATACTTAGCAAAATGGAACTATATTTTGCTTTAGTTGGAGTAG